AGTCCCGGATGAGATCACGGACATGACGAGGAGTCTCTAAATGGTCGAGACATAAAGATTGATATATTGGAAGGTTATGTTTGGACACCGGAATGGTTTCGGATAGGTTCGGGCATTTTCTGGAGTACCGGGGGGTTACCGAAACCCCTCGGGGGGTTAATGGGCCTACATAGGCCCTGGTGAAAGAGAGGAGGGTGCGGTCAGGTGGAGGCGCGTGCCCCCCAAGGCCAATCCGAATTGGGTTAGGGTTGGGGAGCCTTTCCTTCTCTCCTCCTCCTCTTTCCCCCCTTCTCCTTGCGGGAATAGGAATAGGGGTGTCGAATCCTACTTGGACCGGGGGTCCAAGTAGGACTCCCCCCTTGGCGCGCCACACCTATGGTCGGCCTCCTCTCCTCCCCCTTTATATACGTGGGGAGGGGGCACCCCAAAGACACACAAGTTGATCTTTTAGCCGTGTGCGGTACCGCCCTCCACAGTGACACACCTCGGTCATATTGTTGTAGTGCTTAGGCGAAGCCTTGCACCGGTAACTTCAGCATCACCATCGCCACGCCGTCGTGCTGATGGAACTCTCCCTCGGCCTCAACTGGATCAAGAGTTCGAGGGACGTCACCGAGTTGAACGTGCGCTGATCGCGGAGGTGTCGTACGTTTGGTACTTGGATCGGTTGGATCGCGAAGACGTCCGACTACATCAACCGCGTTACTAAACGCTTCCGCTTTCGGTCTACGAGGGTACATTGACACACTCTCCCCTCTCATTGCTATGCATCTTTTAGATAGATCTTTCGTGGTCGTAGGCAATTTTTTTTTGAAATACTGCGTTCCTCAACGCATTTGGCTATCACGCATCGCTCACGAGGTTCCTAATAAAAATGCATCGTTCGGGACTAGCTTGTTAGCCAGTCAAGCTGGTTAGCTGGTTGACCAGTTGAATTGATTAATGAGTCGATCGGTTGAAAATCATGAAATAAAAAAACACCAATTTTTAAGAAGTTCATTTTTTTAGACTTCATGAATTTGAATTTTTCCAATAATCATTAATTTTAAAAAGTTCATGAATTTTAGAGAACTTTGTGAATTTTTAAAAAGTTCATAAAATTTGAAAAAGGCTCATGAGTTTGACAAGGTTTTTTAATTTGAAAAACGTCCACAAAACTATTAAAAATGTGAATTTGAAAAAGTTCACAAATTTTTAAAGTTCTTATAATTTGAGAAAAACTTCATGAATTTTATAAAAATGAAGTAAAAAGTCGTGCATTTGAAAGAACGAGAAAAAGGAATAAGAAAAACAAAAGAAGAAAAGCAAAAAACCAAACCAAACAAAACAAAAACTAATATCCAAAAAACCAGAACGAAAAATGGAAAAGGTAGACATGAAGCTTCTAAAAGCTTCCCTTCCAAAAAACAGGACGAATGTGTCACCACAATTGCCTTGGATGGACCGGCCCATTGGCACGTACAGTTAAAGGGGCAGCGCTATATCTCGCTTATAGCCTGATCTAGCACACTCTCGCGTAAGGTGCCTTCCTAAATGGCCTAGCCTAGGAGCGCGTGAGGCCTCATATTACCAAATATTTTAAGTAAATATATTACAAAAATAAAAATTTCCATAAAAGATTTAAAAATGTCAATCAAACATTTGAAAAATGTCAAATGTGTATAAAGAAAAAATATATTTCTCATGTATACGAAAAATGTATACAAAAAATATACAATGTGTATGGCAAAAGGTTATCATGTATTTAAAAAATGTTAATGAAGCATATGAACAAAACCAAGCATTGAAAAATGTTAAATGTGTATAGAAAATATTTTGATCATGTATTAAGAAATTGTTTAACATGTATTCGAAAAATGTTAATCAAGAATTTTTAAAAAGTATTAAATGCATTTAGAAAAATGTTGATGATACATTAGAAAAATGTTAATCAACATTAGGAAAATGTTAAATATAGATAGGAAAAATGTTGATCATGTATTAACAAATAGTTAATCTTGCATTTAATAAAAGAATTAATCAAGCATTTAAAAATATTAAATGCCATGAAAAAATGTTGACCATGCATTAAAAAATATTAATCATGTATTAGAAAATGTAAATCAAGAATTTTAAAAATATCTATAAAAACGTTGACCAAGCATTAAAAATCCGAGAGAAAAATAAAGTAAAAAAGAAGAAAGTAAAGTGAAAACTAAAGAAAAGCAAAGAAAAACAAGAAAACTGAGAAAGAAACAAAGAAAGTTGAAAAGAAAAATGAAAAACTACTGAAAGCTGTGAAAGGAACAACGAAAAATGTAAGAATGAAGAAAACCGTTGAAGAAATAGAAAAAATTGAAAGAACAATAAAAATAAAAATGAAAGAAATTAGTACGTCAACTATCAGAAGCGTTCTTCTTGATCGGAAACAGCAAAAGGAGTAACAGACGAAAAACAGACCGCCCCAGCAGTGTAGCGGTGCGAAAATGCTTCACACGAGACTAAACGAACACTTGCTAAAATCAAGATATAACATTTGCGCACTTAAAACTATGAGTAGCGCCTTAAGCGATTAATAGGGTGGACCAACTTTTGGCATTGAATAAATCATGCTCTAAAATAGATGAAGTATTCCAACAATCACGGGATTGGGAACAGGACCTCCTATTCCTCCTCGACGTACGCGGCGTGAAATCACTAATTTAAAGGACATCTCTTGCAAAGATCACTCCTACTTTCTTAGATTGTGATAAATTGCACAAAACCTGAAAAGTTTCTCATTTTACATAGATTCGTTCTTTTTAATATTTTATCTCTTAAATCGTGCGATCAAGTCATAAACTGTTTTCACTGTTGGATTTCTGGCGTTGAGATGTCCGAAACTAGATTCAATGTTAATAGGTTTCAACTAAAAAAATCACTATTTTTTTTAGAAAAAATCAAAAGAAAAAAGCCAAGTTTTTTCCACCTTTTCCCCGGTTTCGAGAGCCTCTCGCGAAAACAAATTCGTGCCTCTATGCAAAGCAAATCTTGGCCTCTCGCGAAAAAAATGTATTTTTTTATTTTTTGAGGCACAGTTATGTCTACCGCAGAAGCAAATTCGTGCCTTCACAAGAAGCAATTATGTGCCTCTTGCAAGAGATTTTTTTTTCTTTTTTCCAAAAGGCACAATGGAAAAAATCATAATTTTTTTCTTTTAAATATTTTTTGTCTAAAACCTAGGAAAATCAACCAAAAATTGAAAATATGGAAAAACCGTCTAAAATCCGAAAACACATATAGAAAAATAAATAAAAATCCCGAGAGAACGTCCAGCAGACGACACATGACAACAGCTTAAAGACTGTTATGTGACGCGCTATCAGTCCATCCAAAGTGATTTTTGAGGGGCTCCCACAAAAGATACCCGTTAGTTAGTTGCTCTAGCGGGAAAACGCACACCCTCTTCTTGAATTGGGTGGGCCTAACTAGGGCAGCAAGCATCACAGAGCTTGCCTGATGTTTTTTTATTGTATTTTTTGCCTTTTTTGGAAGAATGGGTTTTCAGTTTGTTTTTTACATTTTGGTATACTTTGTATAAATTTCTTTCTAAATTCAGAAAAGAAATGGTGAACTCAAAAATATTTCAAATTTCAATTAATAATTGCTAATTAAAAATGTTTGTAAATTTCAATAAATTGTTCCCAAGCTTGAAAAAATATTTGCCAATTTTGAAAAATGTCCATGAATTCATAAAAAATATTCCCGAACTGCATTTTTTGTGATCTCGGAAAATTTATTTTTGAACAAAAAGTTCCATTGATTCAATTTTTTTGCGAACTCAAATTTTGTTCATAAATTTTGAACAAAGTAAATTACACTGGAGGTCCTAAAAATATTGCAAGTATGTCAAGTAGATCGTGCAAATGTAAAATCATTGTATTTACCCATGACTTTTAGAGCCTAATTGACACACTACTTTTACGACCCACATGAACTTGGAATACCTTTAGGACCCGCACTTACACACATTTTAAACCCGTGGTTTATGATTCTAAATTTTTAGAACCTACTCCCTCCGTCCGGAAATACTTATCTTCAAAATGATTGTAAATGAATGTATCTATAATTAAAGTAAGTCTAGATACAATCATTTTAAAGGCAAGTATTTCCTAACGGAGGGAGTACTTGACACTTCAGATACTCTTTGTTTGGACCTCCAGTATTTTCCTCTTTTAGAAAAGCTTCTAAATTTCCGAAAATGTTTCCATAATTTCAATAATGTTCATGATTTGAAAAAATATGCACGAATTTAATTTGTTTTCACAATTTAGAAAAAATTGTTTGAATTTCAAAATAATGGTCACTGATCGATTTGAAAAATGTTACTGCATTTCACAAGATGTTCATGAATTTTAAAATAAAAATGGAAAAAAGGAAGAAAAATCGAAAAATCGAAAATGCAAAAAGAACGGAAAGAACGAAAGCGAAAAAAAACATTAAAACCCGAAAGAAAGAAAAAACTCTCCTAAAACCGGAAAAGAGCTAGGCTGGCCTAGGGATCCGGGGAGAACGGCTTCTTTTTTTGCAAGTTCGTACATTCAGCTGCGTTGCAATGGGCCATGGCAGGATTTACAAGTTAAAAAAACGCGGAGTTCATCACTGAAACAAAAGGAGTAGATTTTTCTGTTTCTCTTCAGGTGTAAATCCAGGAACTTTTATCTTCAACCATCCGAAGGTATGTTTTTAAATTACAATTCATTTTTTGAACCGAGCATTAACCACTTTCCATTAATTTTTTAACGGAAATACAGAGTTCCAGAACAAGAGAACAGAAGACAGGAGAGGAGCTAACAGGAAACCCACTACCTGCGCCTGCAATCAACATCGCTGTGATTCACCTGCCATTACAACAACAATTACCTAGGCATTATTTAGTTTCCAGATCAACACAGGCTACACAGGTTGCGAGTCACATCGCTGCGATTCAGCTGCCGGAGCCACCGATTGACATCGCTGTGCGGGCTCCTCGTGCCGTGGTGTCACGCCTTGCGGAGCTGGTGCATGGTCTTCAAGGCGGAGATGGCCGTGGCCGGGTCGAGGCTCTTGGGGCACGTCGCCGTGCAGCTCTTGATCATCCTGCACCTGTACAGCTTGTCCCACCCCTCCGACAGCGCCTGGATCCGCTCCTCCCCGTAGTCGTCGCGGCTTCAAATTATCATTGCACCACGAATCACTCTAGTTAGATATTCTTTGATCCCCGCAAAAACAAAAACAAAATCATACGAAGTACTGTACTACGCACGTACCTGTCGGAGACCCAGCGGTAGGCGTGGAGCAGCGCGGCCGGGCCAAGGAAATCCTCGGAGTTCCACCAGTAGGACGGGCAAGCCGTGCTGCAGCACGCGCAGAGGATGCACTCGTACAGCCCGTCCAGCTTCCGCCGCTCGCCCGGTGACTGCGCGTGCTCCCGCCCCTCCGGCGCCCCACGCTTCGTCTTCAGCCACGGCTCAATCGACCTTCCATTATTCGTTTGGTTATTGCAACATTAACGACTAGACTACGTGGTATGTAACTCAACGAGTAGGCGCGTGCGTGCGTACTTGTACTGCTGGTAGAAGTTGGTGAGGTCGACGACGAGGTCCTTCACCACGTACATGTGCGGCAGCGGCGTAATCATCGTCGCCGTCGACGTGTCGGTGTCGATGGGCTTCAGGCACGCCACCGTGTTCACCCCGTCGATGTTCATGGAGCAGGAGCCGCAGATGCCCTCCCGGCACGACCGCCGGAACGCCAGCGTCGAGTCGTGCTCCGACTTGATCTTCTGGAGCACGTCCAGCACCTAGGCATGCACATGCACAATCATTCATGCCCGCACAATCAAGCTGCAAACGAACAGCAAGACCAACGTAGCGTACCATTGGGCCGCACGTGCCGAGGTCGACGAAGTAGGACTGCAGGAACGGCCGGCCATGCGCGTCCGGGTTCCACCGGTATATCTGGAACTCCTTCACCGTCGCGGCCTTGCCGCCGCTCTTCTTCTCCTCCTCGCCCGCGGCGAGGCCGGCCTGCTTCTCCGCGGCCTCTCGTGCGTCGACGCGCGCGGCCGGGTGGCCCTTGAGCGCGGGGAAGTGCTCGTCGCCCTTCACGGCCCTCTTGGCCGCGCCAGCCACCCGGTCCTTCACCGACGCCAGCCTCGGCAGCGTCCTCCTCAGCATCGCGAATCGCAGCAGTACTCGCTCGCAGTGCGGCCGGTTGTACGTGGCACCTGCCGAGGATCACTCGAGCGGTGGACCTAAAAGGCTGATGCGCTGCACGGCACGTGCCCGGCCCGACGACACGTGTGGCACTCTAGGACAAGATATGTGGAAGGTGGAACCTAGAGCGGTTTGAGGCCGCGGTAGGATAGCGATCGCCCATGCGGGCTCTAACGTGGGCCGAGGCCCAAGTAAGTAGCGAAGCGGGATCGTTTTTCCACCGGCTTTGGAAGCTTTCGTTCGGACTTTTTGAAATTTCAGAATATTTCTGAAATCATTTAGTATCTTATAAATTTGTAAAAACACCCATTAAATTTTTGTTTTTCAAAATATATTTTTTATTGACGATTTATTTTGAATTTATAGATTTTTTAATTCGTGACCTTTTCGATTTTTGTGGATATTTATTGAATTCAAAATAAAATTTAGAAATTGATGAACCATTTTTTGAAATCCTAAATATTTTTTTCAATTCGTGAACAATGAATTTGTGAACTTTTGAATTCGTAAAGTTTTTGGATTTGCAAACTTTTTGTCAACCATGGAATATTCTGGATTTGCAAAAAAGTAATTTGTGACCATTTATTGATTGAAGATTTTTCTAAAAATTCGTGAACATTTTTTGATTCGCGATTTTTGTTTCAAATTGGCAAATATTTCTTCTCTATGTTTCATGCCCGGTTTTTCTACTTTTCTCATTCATCCTTTTGCTAATAAATTTCAATGTGCATTTAATTAAACGTTCAGTGTATAAATGATCAGTGTGTATTAGAAAAAATATTCACCGTACATGGGAAAATTTCACTATATATAAAAAGTGTTCATCGTATAATAAAAATTTGGTCAGTATGTATCGGAAAAATTGTTTACCATACATTAAAAATTGTTCAGTTTGTATCTAAAATATGTTCATCATATGCTAGAAAATATTCTCTGTGTATTTCCAATTTTTGAAAGTTTTCCTGGTATATCATAAAAATGTTTATATTACAACAAACTATAGAAAAGGAAAAGGAAAAAAAGCCGAAAGGAAAGCCAGAAGAAAAATACATACATGAAGAGGAGAAAAATCAGAAGAAGAGAGGAAAACAAAAGTAAAAAGAAACAAATAGTACTACAAGGTAGACTGAACATTGAACTTTTTTGGTCCATCGAGACAGCAGGTAGACTAGGTTAAATTCTCTTTCAAAAAAGAACAGCTTGGGTGAACCGACTAAATAGCCGTGATTGCTAATTTGGGCTTATAGCGCCATCTATCGGGACAATGCTACATATCTCTTACAGCGCTACATAGCACTCGCATCGCCCGCAATGCGCGGTCAGCACTTCCTCTAATGGCCGGCCCAGGTTCATATTTTTTACACCTGGCTTGTTTTCAAATGTCGCTTTTCTATCTAGGTCATCTTTTAACGAGGTCGCTTCCTAGTTAAAATGTTGCTAAACTCAAAAGAAATTCATGAATTCAGAAATGTCTAGGAATTCCAAAAAATTTTCATAAATTCAGAAATATTCATGTATTCAGAAAATTTTGTGAATTTCAAAAATGTGCATGGATTTCCAAAAAAACATTGTGGATTGAAAAAAAATAGTAGACAAACTTTTGACATCATGGTTTTATTTTTGAAAATTATGACATTTCTTGAAGTTGTGAACAGTTATTTAAATTCTATTTTTTCAAATTGTGGACAACTTTTGAAAACAATTTTAATAGAACACGAAAAATATTTGAAACCATGATTTTTTGCTAAAAAACTATAATTTTTTAAACTAAAAAAACAAAGGACGGATATAAAAAAGAAACAAATAAACCAGATTTTTTTAGTGGTACACATAAACCAGATAGAGCTGGAAAAAATGCACATCATGGTTCGCTTGCTGGCTTTCCTAATAGGTTGGCACATCTTGTACACTTACGAAGTGATCTGCTGCTTAACGATCGCAATGCTACACAACATTTGTGCAATTATAGGGCTGTCAGGACTAGGCGCACTAAAAAAAGTTGCACCCGTGTCGCACGTAATGTTTTAGCCCCTTGTTGCAGGTCGTGTTTTGTTTTTTGCGATTGCCCCGGCTTGTTTTTTGAAGCTTATAGAACAGGCTGATTTTGGGAAGCTTCTATAAGCTCTTGACCAGCTTTGGGTTTTACGTTCGGTTCTCGTATTTTCGTTTCCGTTTGCTTTTTTCATGTTCTGATATTTTTCAAAGCCATGTTTTTTGCCAAAATTCAGAAATTTTTTGAATGCTTGATTTGTTTCATGTTTATATATTTTATTTAAATTCCAGGACTTATTTAAAATCCGAAATTTTTAAAATTTGTTAAAAATCAATTCACAAGTTTTTTGAATTCATGATCATTTTTTGAGTGTGCGAACTTTTTTCCAAATTCATTGATCTTTTTAATACTCATGAACTTTTCTCAAAGTTAACGGTCAATAGTCAACGGTCAACTAGGTCAATCGACAACCGAGCACGCGTGCGCGTGATATGCCAAGCGAGCTGCTCGCCTCGCGTTGCTGGGCCACACCAAGCGAGCAGTCGCATGGGCGCTGGCTGCCTAGCTGGCGCATAAGGCGCCTAAATATGATGTATCCTAAATTGTGGGAATGCTATAATGGCAAGATGGTACTCACCCTAGTTACTGAAAATGGGCCAGCCCAATAACTAACTAGTGCCTAGCAGTTTTGTGAAACATCTTTGGTCCAGCGTGCGGAACCTTCTACCCAACTATTGAAAGGTGTTACACGATTTTTTTATTCTTTTCTGTGTTCTTTCTATTGATTTTCATGTATTTATTTTTATTATTTCTTCTATTCATTAATTTATTTTCTTTTCCATTTACTTTTAGTTTTCGTTTCCTTTTTTCCTATTTTCAAATATATGTCAACTTGTCCAAAAAAAATTGAACTTTTTTGGTATACAGGTTGGACATTTTTTAGATAAAACATGAATAAATTTTAGATCCATCCTGCAAATTTTATGTGAGTACATATTCAAAATTTTGTAAAATGCACATGAGACCTGTTTAAATACACCGTGAACATTTTTCTAAAAGCGTTGAACATTTTTCAAATAGTTCATGATCATTTTAAAAAAATTATGAACATTCTTTTAATACCTTTGAATTGTTTTCACTGTTATGAATATTTTCTTATATATTAGTTCTTTTTAACATTTCATGAACATTTTTGAAAATGTGACATGCCTTTTCTTTTTGCAAGAACATTTTCTAAAGCCACGAGAACAAAAAAAAATCACATTCCAGAACATTTTGATAATATGGGATGGAAGTTTGTTTTAAGGGACAAACAAATTAAATTTTCCATATATATTTATTAATACATCTCTATATTGTAGAACATTTTTAGAATGTAAATACTCCCTCCGTTCCTAAATATAAGTCTTTGTAGAGATTTTACTATGAATCAGATACGGATGAATATAGATGCATTGTAGAGTGTAGTTTTACTCATTTTGCTCCGTATGTATTTAGGAACGGAGGAAGTATAAGGTAAGAAAAAAGAAAACAAATAATGCAAGCCTCACTCCACGAAAATGAAAGCAAAAGGGTCAAAATCCCCACTGGGCCGGCCAACTACAGGCTACCTTTGAGGCGCGAGATGGCCAGCACTTCGGGTTTTCCAGAGTCCGTTCATAGGCCTCGTCCTGAGCTTTGCTGACATTTTTTTCCTTTTAGATTTTAGGAAAACAAAAAGGTACAACATCTATAAAAAATGTTCAATTCTTTATCATTTTTTTACGGAGGTCAGTTCTTTGTCATTGATTGAAATATTTTATTCGTGGCTTACCAAGCTGACCGCTTGGTAAAAACATTCAGTAATAAACAAAGAGGATTAGTAAACAGCAGTTTGTCTCTTAAAAAAAGTAAGCTGCAGTTTAAATCTTTGATAGCAAAAAAAGAAGCAGGCCCCACTCACCAAAGATGTTGAGTCAATTGAGTTAATTTTGTTGAACATGTGTACATATACGTAGGTCTGGGTTATGTATGCCGTACCTGTAGTGTCTCTCTCCCTCTCTATATGTACTTGTATCTTGGGATACAAGACACCGGTCACACCCCTTATATCTATATATATGTATCTGCACGATCAATCAATTATCGATGCACCAAATCATTATCTACGTTATATCTATTGCAAGTCGATCCTTCCGCTTCCGCTAACCCTAGCCGCCGCCTCGAGCCGCTGTCGCTGCCCCACGCCGCCGCCACCGCCCCTCCTTCCCGCACGCCCTCCCTCCACGCCGCACCGCCCTCCCGCCGCGCCGCCCGCCCCCCACCACCACGCCGCTTCTCCCAAGCTGCGCCGCCCGCCCTCCACCGCCGCGCCGCCTCTCCCCAAGCCGCGCCGCCTCCCTCCCCACGAACTCGCAGCCATGTCATCCGACGCTTTCACCTACTCCAACCCCTTCGCCGTCGACCCTGCTGAGATCCGCGACATCAACGTTCATGCACGCGTCCCCGTGGTCCTCGACGCCTCCAACTCCACATACTTCGCGTGGAAGACATACTTCTCCCTGCTCTTTCGCGAGAACAACCTCGTGGATCATGTGGATGGCACCGTGGCCTTCCGCGCCATGGTGGACGACGCCAAGTGGACCGCGATCGACGCCGCGATCATCCGTTGGTTCTTCACCATAATCTCTAAGGACTTGTTCAACACGGTCATGAGCATCGTCGACGACGCCCGTGCCCAGTGGGTCAAGCTGAACGGCCTCTTCACCGACAACAAGGTTCAACGCCACGTTTTCTTGCAGCGGAAATTTTTTTGACTGTCACCAGGATGAACAGTCCATTGATGACTACTGCTGCCGTTTGAAGACGTTGGCGGATGAGCTCCGTGACATTGGAGCCAAGATGGATGACGACCTCCTCCTCAGCATGCTCACCGCCGGTCTCAACGAGGACTTCGGCAACGCCGCCTCCAAACTCACCTTGATGTCGG